TTTTTTCTTAAGTCAAGAAAGGTTCAGGGAAGGCAGGGAAAATACAGTCCAGGCAATACAGTACCAGGCAGTCTGAAGACTGTCTCCCAATCCACTCTCTAAACGCTGGGAGGAGTGAGGAAGCAGACAGGCACCCTTTTCACTGGCCAACAGTCAACTGAAAGTTCAAATTTTGCACTTTCCCTGCCTCCCACGTGGTTTTTTTTCAGTTCTTAACTCAAATCTAAGTACTTAAGTCAAGTCAATATTTTCCTATGAGAGCGGTTCTTAAGTCAAAATGTTCTTAATTCAAGCCGTTCTTAAGTCAAGACCCAACTGTAATCCATTCCCACTGGAATGGATTAACCGGTTTTCAATGCATTCCTATGGGAAATGGTGTTTCGCTTAACGATGTTTTCCCATAGCGATGTTTTTTTTGAACCAATTAACATCGTTAAGCGAGGTGCCACTGTATTATTGTCAAAAGACGGGAATGAAGTTGATATTGTAACTAAAGATGGGCATGAACCACTGTTCCATGATTGGTGCTGTTCAGCTGCACAGCTTCTTCTGTGAGTGCCCCAGCTTCCCAGCCCTGCCTCAAGCGGGAACTCACTCAGAGGCAGTGGTGCAGCTTTCGAGCCCTGCATCCTCCAGGTGCTGCCTCTGAGTGAGCACTTGCCAAAGGAGGCAGGGCTGGGAAGCCAGAACACCCACAGAACTTGTGCAGCCGAACCACTGAACTGCACTAAACAGCAGTTCATGCCCATCTCTAATTGTAACAAATTTGCAGGATTCAAACACACACAACAAAGAGGGGAAAAGGTGTATGAAGGATTGAATGCTGGGCTGCCTCTTCTGGCTTGGTTTGTTTGTTTTTGAGGACTTCCACTGAACAGAACTAACATAATGCAAGTTTCATTTACTCACATATTATATACATACTTACAGACATAAATACACATTTTAAAACAACAACACAAGAGATGCTTTGAAATATAGGTGTATACCTAGGTACATGTGGATACATTCCAAACCATGCACACAAGTAAACACCCCTGAAATACCGTAAAAGCCTAACATGTTACAGAAAGAATCAACATGAATCCCAACGAAAGTTTCTGAACTATTCCCGTTAAACGAGAACATAACGTACAGGTTGAGTGTGCCAAGGCTCATGGCCACTTGCATCTTCTTCCTATTCACATCCCTTTGAAGTGAGTGGGGCAAATAGTTTCATGGGGGTTTGGAGAGGCCTTGTCCTGCGAAGATTCCTAGAGCAAGGCAAGGGTTATGCAGAAGGAGCACAAGAGATCCTAGACTTCTGAGTTCCTGTCCAAGCCCAAGCCGGCTGCCATTGTGAAGGGTTTATAATTCCCTGACAGAAACCGAATTGATTAAAGAGTCACTTTGCCCGGCTGTATTTTCCTGCAGGGTACTGCAAAAGTCTGTACTTGAGATATTGCTCCTGCTTCGACTGCCATCCACCGTCCCTGGACTTCTCGCTGCTGTAGCATCTGTGCTTGCTAAACTCCCAGTCCGAGATCGATAGGGAGGCAGTTCTATATGATGCTGGAATTCCGTTTCAGAGGAATATGGAGGTGGGGGAAGATCAAACCATGGAGGTCTGCTGCAAGGCAGAAATGGAATATGTTATGTGACTAAGTATAGTATATGGAAAGAAAAAAAAACTGAATTTCTGAATTTTAGCTCTATTAAGCTACAGAGCTGATCCGTTAGAGTAAAAATGCATACAAAATACATATTATTCGAGCACTCAAGCTACTGCGAAAACAATCTGTTGTGTTGTAAAGAGGAAAACTATTTTATTGTCCAGAAAGGAACTTCTGAAAAATTGACCTGAGTTGTGAAAAATGATAACTGGCTGACACTTGGGACACCAGTAGACACCACTCCCTCCACCCTTGGTCTGATTTTGCAAATGTTTTAATTCTTTTTGAAAAGGACAAATTAATGCCTTAAAAATTCATTCCATGCAGTAGATAAACTATGTGTATATTAAACGGTGGATTTGGGGGGCTGAAGAAGTGCAAGAAAGATGGCAGAGTCATGCTGATCCTTTGTCAAAAGCATGGTTAACATCTGTATAGGAGAGGGCAAAATCCTGGCTGCTCTATGGAAGCAGGGGCTGGGGTGGAGGGCCTGGCGAGGCCTGTTTAAAGGTGCACTTGAATATCATGTTTGGCATTTACGTAGCAAGATATATTTAAGATCTTGACTTTCCCTGAAGGCATGAATATGTTACATTCATTGTTCATTTTGTACCTGCTGATATTGGGCTACAGGGACATTTCCTTCTGTCTGATGCTTGTCACTGCTCTAACCCCAGGACAACAGTGATGGAGAATTAAACTCCTGGACCAAGTCCAAGGCATGCTGGAAATCTATCAACATTTAAAAGCTGCTGCCGGCTGCTACCCATCACCACAGTCACCACTGTAACCAATATTGGTCTTAGTAGAAAAGCCAAGAAAATGAACACAATGATTTCTTATTTCTTAAAAGCCCAGATGTAGATAATGTAGCTTCCACAACAGACTGTGGGCCATAATTCTTTCATTTGGTCAGTGGTTGATGATGGAAAAGGGACGTGGTGGCGCTGTGGGCTAAACCGCAGAAGGCTGTGCTGCAGGGTCAGAAGACCAAGCAGTCGTAAGATTGAATCCACGTGACGGAGTGAGCTCCCGTCGCTTGTCCCAGCTCCCGCCAACCTAGCGGTTCGAAAGCATGCAAATGCAAGTAGATAAATAGGGACCACCTCGGGGGGAAGGTAACAGCGTTCTGTGTCTAAGTCGCACTGGCCATGTGACCACGGAAGATTGTCTTCGGACAAGCGTTGGCTCTACGGCTTGGAAACAGAGATGAGCACCGCCCCCTAGAGGCGAACACGACTGGACAAAAATTGTCAAGGGGAACCTTTACCTTTACCTGATGATGGAAAGGACATGCCAACCATTTTCAAAAGCATCTCGGAGTAAATACATCAAGTCTCTAATTAACTATTCGATGCCAGAATTAACTATGGGCTGGGGCTTTTTCAACCTGATTTTGTTTTCACAGAATAGATCAGCTTTGTTCATTCAGTCACTGCAAGGGATCCCCATTCCTTTTCTCAAGGTAATGCTCCCGTTATATAGATGTGGCACTTTTCCTGTGCCACAAGCCTCCAATTGTGACTATGAGCACTCTGCTGAGTGTAACGGCGAGACTCTCATGGGCACTGTGTGATGCCATTAATGGTAAATGAAACTCCATGCCCCCTTGCTGGTTGGTATGCCATCTTTTAAAAGATTGATGCTGTCTTTAATTATTGACTCTTTGAGGCTGAACATTCCCATGCTGTAGTATTTGAGTGCAGAAGTGCATGTGTAGCCCTCAGAAGAAAATGGCGAAAACAAGCAGGGCTGGGAGGGTGAACTCCCGGCAAATTACAATTCGCCATTATGCACACTTTCATTTTTTTCTAGGGGGCGGGGAGAGATGCTATTTAATGATTTCCTCGCTCTGTGCTCCTCTGTTAAAGCAGTTGTGCGCACATTTTTCTTGATTTTTTAAAAAAACTGAACCAAACACAACCTTCTGCAGAAACAGGCAAGGTGCATCTAGATGTTGTTGGGTGGCCACTGACTCTACTGGCTGGAGCTGTTAGGAGTTGCAGTCAAACATCTGGGAGACTACAGTTTGCCCACCCTTGTCAAAAGCACAGGGCCATTGATTTTGGTTGGGTGAAAAAAACCTATTGCCTCACTGGAGTTTGACCATTATTTTCTGGATTATTGCACAAGGAGTGCTGTTTAGTTAGTCCAGAGAAGAGCAAAATGTGCCCCAGAGGCTTCCGGTGGCCTTACACCATGTTTTGGATTCATTTTCATTGGTGGTGCAAAACCAGGGCCAGAAGGGCTTCAAGCAGCACAGAATTCTGTCTGTCTGTCCACCTACCGCTTACAAATGGCCAAATGTGGACCCAGAAGCCTCAAGAGGGTGCCACTAACCATTTCAGATCATCCTCCTGACCTTTATACAGAGAGCTTTTTTCAGTACAGAAAGTGACAGGGGAGGAATGGCCCTCTACAGTATTGGGGGTAGCCTCCAGGTTCCTGCAAACTGCCTGCTCCTGATTCAGTGCTATATTTCAGGCAGAAAAAGATGTTTAAAGTGTTCTCGGTAAAGACATATTTTCAAAAAACCCTGACACCTAGGTATTCTACTGCACATTTAATAGGAAAAAGGCCTTTTCATTCATCAGATGTCCCATTCCAGATGGCTGCAAGTGGTATTATGAGGGAAATGACAATTTACAACTAGCCTTCATCACATGACTCTTTCACCAATTCTAGCAGGACACAGTACTTCCATGGAATTGCTACCTCTAGATTATTAAATTTACAGCAGCATACTGTATGATGTGTCTACTTATGAAAATGGTGGCTAATGGAATAAGAATAGAAAAACCCATCCTGACATTATGTAGTATGAAACAGAAGCACTGAGAGTAGTGACAGAGTTTTTTTTAACACTATACTGGATGTTTGCTGCACATACCTTTGGTCTAGCACGGCTTCTGAATAAGAAGGTGGGGAGTCTATATCTGGTGGCCTATGATAGGCCTGGTTGGACATGTACTGCACACCATTGTTGACATTGTAGGTGACGCTGCACTGATGAGGATGATCCAGGACAACTAGCCGAGACAAGAGGACAGGGTGCTGCAGTCGATGCACTGGAAGCGTCATGAGGTTATTGCGTTTTCGTTGGTGGTGCAAAACTAGGGCCAGAAGGGCTACGACCAGCACAAAAATGGCCGAGCTGCCAATAATGGCATAGGTGATGCTGGGATAGAAGATCAGCTGAGGTTCTGTCGTCACATAATTCTGGTTGCTGTCAGCTTCTGGAAGGCAGAGGTAAGGAGAGGTAAGATTAGCGTCTGTGAAAGGGATGCTGCATTTCCTTCCTTAGATGTAAAATGCTAATAGGCCACTGCCTGGCTGGCTTCCCACAGTGTTTTCTTCTTCTTTAGGAAGTGTGGAAAATGAGCTTATACATATACACACAAAACAGAGAACGGCTGAAGGAAATGGCACACTTCCTTCTCCCTGGATTGGATATGGCTGCTTTGAATTGACATGTCCAAAGACTGTGAAGACTTAACAGGAAAGATGTGAAGGTTTATTTATTCCTGTATCTGAACTTGTGGTTTTGCTTTTGCTTGTTTTAATTTTAAACTTTTATTTTAAAATATATATCAGTCTGACTCCAGTACATCCATTCCTTCCCACTCTTTCCCTCCCACACCTTTCTTCCCAACCAAAAGATATTTCTAGACACTTAAATGGAAAAAGCAGCATCCATTTTCCCTCTGGTAAGAACTGAATCCCACTGTACTGCTGTCTAACAGGTAAATTCACCAAAACCACTAGCCCATTTAGCCACCCCTGTTTCTTATCATCTGTACAACTAAACATTCTAGTTTCTGCTAGTGCTTCTTCTTTGCTATGGTCCATGGGCCACATCTAGCCTGCCTTGCCGTTTTATCCAGCCTGTTCTCTTCAGCCCATGCGTGTGTGAGCTCAGGGGTGGGTAGGGGTGAGTGCATGCACGATCCTTTGGCCTTCAAAAATGTGAAAAATATACGATGTGGCCTTTAATCTCAAAAGTTTGGAGACCCCTGCTATAGGCAGCCAACCAAATGGCCATTTGCATGGTCAGTAAGTCACCAACTATGCATGGGTCATTTTCTTTCTCACAAACTGTTCCATTATACCAAAAAAATACCCACACCAAAACAAAAAACGAACATACAGTTTTAGTGAAAATAGAAGACATTGAGGAAAAGAATGTGATTACAAAGGACTAATGTTTATTTATTTTTTTTTAAAGTACTATAGCATAGCAAGACAGCATAACCCACCACCACCCAGGCTTTTCTTTTGTTAAAATCCTTTTGATGGGCGCTGGATAGATCAGTGGTTTAGGTATCTGGCTACAGAGCTAGAGGTTGGGAATCCAATTGCCCACGGTGCCTTCCACAAGCAGAGCCAGCCTGTGTGGCCTTGTGCAAGCTGCACAATCCCAGGACATGCCCACGGAAAGGGAATGATAAACCACTTCTGAGTATTCTCTACCTGGAAAACCCTAAAAAAGTATCACCATAAGTCAAACTGACATGATGGGACATGATGATTATACGGTAGGACCACCATGTCCACAGGTTCAGTATCCACAGTCTGAAAATATTAAAAATATTATAAGAAACATCCTAGAAATATATATTTCTAAAGATGAAGTTATTAGAACTGGCCACTAGAGGGAACAAGAGACCATGCTATGTATAACGTTCCCTATTAAAACAGTGTTTGCTATCATCCATGTTTTTCAGTATACATCAGAGGACTTAGAACTGATCCCCCACAGATACAGGGGGTCCTATTGTATTAAGCAACTTTCTCCACATACAGAATATCAAGATATCATTTGATAACAAAAAATATTGAGGGAATTTCTAGGCTTTGTAGAGACTGAACATTTTAAAGAAGAATCCTAGTCAGAGGATTTTAAGTGTATTCCATTAGTTAAATTGAATCATCACTACTGAAATAATGCTTGTTTTGCTAGCTAAGCAAAACAGCAGAGAATATGATTGGGGGCATTAAGTGATACTTTGCTTAGTTATGTACATCTGAAGAAAGCTAAATGAGAGTCACTAATGTGGTATTTACTGCTAATGATAGAGCGGAAAGCTTGGTAAACAATCCTGCCTGTCCAGATCCTTCTTTGATCTGAAGTAAGTCAAGAAAGTTCCTTGTGAAACCACCATATATCTCAGCAGAACTCAACTGCTGCTGCTTTGAGCTTAGTATTTGAGGTACTATTACCTTCATTAAAAAATGGAAAGAAAGAGAAGAGAGCTAGAGTGCCACAGCAGAAGCCACTGGCATATGCTTTTACATGCAAAAAACCCTCTCAAGTCAAGACCCCACTGTACATGCAAAAAAAACCCCTTGGTTCAATTCCTAGCATTGACAGGTAGGGCTAGGAAAAGCTTCCTTGAACACGAAGAGAGATGATACGTACCAGTCAGTATATTGACTGTCCTGGGCTAGATAAGTAAGAGGTTTGGCTCCCTGTGTTATACTATGACCAAAACACAAGGGTGAGAGTGATGGTCAAGTTAGCCAATCATATATCCTCCAAAAATGAAAACTCTCAGAATCCTGGCTGTGGCTTATGGAAATTGTAGTTTGAAGTATGGAGGATATCAGTTGCCTGCCCTGGTGCAGAGAAATTAATTTTAGATGGGGCATCCTCCCTGATCCCAGGCATTGTTCCCCAGTTGTAGCCAGGCATGACCACCACACCTACAAAGAAGTCTCTTCAAACAACTGGATTCAGCCCCCTGCACAACTGGGACTTGCATTGAAAAGGCTGAAAATCAAATCCTTCTCAGCCACAGAACAGGCCCAGTGACCTCGAGATCATTCTCCTCTGTCATCCTACCTCATTTTCAAAGGGTTTTTAATGAGGTTAAAAGATAAGGACTGTGTATGTTGCTCAAGCTTCTTTAAGGAGGTATGGGAGTGCAATTCATGTTAGCTAGTGTTATTAACTGACTTGATACCTTGTTTTCCTATTGGCACAGTGAAAGTTATTCACAAAACCAACATTTGACAAAACAAACTGCAGAATGCAGTTACGCAAAATGATGAGCCTGTTACAACTACTTTTAGAAAACAGAAGGCTGGTCCTTCCTGTGTTGCTGCCAATTAACGTTCTCTAGGTCACAACGAACAATGGAGAACACATGATGTTGTTGTACTCCCTTCCTATGTCAGGCATGACTCAGAGTCCTCCTCTCTCTGCATGTCCCTTTTGCAGGCCTAGAGAAGGAGGTCAGATCTGTGTTTAGAAGGCACTTCTTCTTTGCAAGCTGCCTCTTCCTGGATAGTAGCAACTGGACAGAATATACTGTGGCAGGAGATTTGTCAGCACTTCATATGGTGACTCGGTTTACACTTTTAGAGGCATGTACAGTATGGCTTTTTAATTCTACTCTAATAATTTTCAGCAAATGTTTACACACCACAGACAAAGCCAGTAGACTAAAAAGTCAGGCGTAACACGAGGAGAAAACTACTGAACACAATTTGTTCTGTTTTATAACAACAGGGAATGTGGACAAGCCAAATTAACTCAAATTCATTCTTCCCTGGTTTTCATAGCAGGATAGCTACATTCGAATGGCACGAGGCAGAGATAGTTCATCAAAGCCACTGTTGCCTATTAAACCTCATTATCTGGAACATGCTGACAGTGCAGACCAGAAGCTCTGTGAAAATCCAACTGTGTGTAAGAGGTGGGAGAATAGTCAAAACCGAAAAGGAAACTGGTAATGGAGAACATTACAGGGTGCATTCACAAGACTGTTTTATTAACCATGAACAAATTACGCCATCTTAAAAATATTAAAAAGGTCTAAGACCAATTGTTATTAAGCTTCTTAGTCACTGGAATTGGAAAGGCCATTACATTACTTTCTCCCGACTCTGAACCAGCTGTTTCACAGTTCATTGGGGCAATAGTTTTTGAAACACATAATCAGACTAGGCACCTGAAGCTTTTAACCAATAGAAAGACTATCCATCTCCAACAAAAGGTACCATTTAAAACACAACAGACATCATCATCATCATCATCATCATCATCATCATCATCATCATCATCATCATCAATATTAGAAAAACACTGAGAAGTCTACAAGCTCATTGCATACAGTTTATAACTGTACATGAACTGTAAATATGGCAGTTCTGTTTTAAAACCACATTACTTTGGCCAGAATCCTACTGCTGATTTATGCTTGCATAAGGGAAATGGCTTCAGTTTTGGAAGCAAATTGTTGACTGTTAATAAATGCCACCAGCACCTCTTTCACAAGTGGTAATTTGCCACTATAACTTACACAGTTTCCCAAGTTTTATTGGGACTTAATTTTATTTCAAAGTTTATTCCCAAGAATTATTTATTCTCAAGAATAAAGTGCCATTAGGATTCTGGCCAAAGTATATTTTCCCTTTTTTATTAATAAAGGTGTTTAAGGATTCTAACTATTGCAAAATATAAATTAAGAACTATATCTTAATTAAAACTAACTAGTAAAATGCAGTTTTAAAAGATACCCAACCCCCCAATTACATGCCAAAAGGTCTGCCTAAATAAAAACCACTTGGCTTCCTGAGAGATGAGCAACAGACACATACAGAGAGACACACAGAGAAAGGACCTGGCTCCTTGTGGCATGGAGTTCCAGAGGTAGGAAATGGCCATCAAAAAGGAGCTGTTTCATATCCCCACCAACTTATTTCTCCGATGGCAATGGGACTGAGAGCTGGACTTCCCCAAAGATTTCAAAACCCAGGCAGCTCACCGGTGAGAATGCAGCCCTTTAAACAGCCTGGGCTGATAGGTTAAAAAATGTGGTAGCAGCTACTTAGAAGAATACAGATGATGATTAAAACCAAATCACTAAGGTTGATGGTTATCACACACAGAGGGAAAGGGGAATTAACTGCATATCCAGAACTTCCCAGAAGACCTCAGTGGGGCCCTGTGGTCTCTGAGATTTCTTATCATTTGTTGCTTCATAATCCCAGGTACAATAATTGCACATGAGTGAGTGGGAGTCAATCTGTTTCTTAATGGATAAAAGCCTGGGGTCAAATACATATACAGTATATGTGAGGTACAGCCAGCTCCTGTTTGAAGCTCCAGCCGAGATGCAACTGAAGTGGTCAGTTTTTCAGTAACATCAGTCTCTGTCCACACTAGCAGTCTCATTCATCAGGGATTGGTGACAAAAGGTCTCCCGAATGGTCTGGGATATATAACGAACAG